TCGTCCAAGTGCCTCAGGCACTCAGAGACAGGCACAGCTTTTGGAAGATATTGGATCATGGGGGACTGTGGTTGATTTATGGTTAGGGGATGTGATCTGGTTGGAAGAGGTGGGTCAGTGGGAGTGTGGCTTGGAAAGGTTTATCTCCTTCGCTGGCTCCTCTCTTGATCTCTTTCTCTCTCTGCTTTCTGTCCGCCACGCCATGAGCAGCTCTCCTTTGCCATTCTGGGACCCAGTGGACCATAGACTGAAACTTCTACAAACTGTGAACCAAAATAAACCTCTTCTCTTTTGATTTGTGGGTGTTGGGTATTGTGTTTCAGTGATAAGAAAGCAACTGATGCAAGGATCCTTATGAAGTCCTCTTCACAAAGATTTTATCAGTTTACAAACACACCAATGGAATGTGAAGGCCAGTTTCTCAATACTTTACTAATACCAGATATAGTCACTAAAGTGTTTGAAACTTTAATAAGCAAGAACATTTTATTTTAATTTGTAACTCTCTGATTATTTAAAAGCCTTTTACTGTTACTTTTTCTATTTATTGCCCATTTCTGTATGCTGTTTCTGGTGTTTTTCTTCACTATAAGTACTCTTTAGATGTTGAGTAATCAGTTTTTTTCAAATATGTTGATTTTTTTTGTTCTCCCATGGTTTATGATTTGTCTTTTAAATTTGGATGTCACATCCTTTGCCATAAAGAAAATAAAGACTATCCAAAATTTTAAAAATAGTTTTTTTATTATTTATTTCCTACCCCAAAGTGAAAAAAGTATGTGTGTGTGTGTGTGTGTGTGTGTGTGTATAGTATACACATATTTTAATTTAATGGGGGTAGTACGGGAGATTGAACCCAGGGCTTTTTCACTGAGCTAAATCCTCTTTTTAAAAATTTTTGTTTTGAAGCAGAGTCTCACTAAGCCACTAAATTGGCCAGGCAGGACTTGAACTTGTGATCCTCCCAGCATGCTGGGATTATAGGTGTGCTTCAGTATGGCTGGTGCTGTAGTATATTTTTAAACTTAAAAATTTGATCTAGCTGGAATCATTGTTACCTGTTATATCAGGTAGGACTCTAATATCCATGTAGATAACTATTTTGCAGCTAATTTATTTCCCACTGCTTTGAAATATAATTCCTATCATATAAAGTCTCATGAATAGATATATCTATTTCTGGATTCTGCTCTGTTCCATTGATCTATTTATGTATTCTACTGCTAGTAAAACAGTAATTCACTCCTCTAACATTCTGAATAGGGATTATATCACCCCCTGCGGGGTTAAAATCACCCACAGGGAGGCAAAAATTGGTTCCTGTAAAGAAACACTCTGTGTATGAAGCATAGATAAACATAGTGCATAACAGACAGCATATTCGTGGCATTATAATTTTATAGGGATGAGATGAGCAGTTAGGAAAAATGTCTCAAAAGGTCCCTTTCAAGGACTGTTACACAAGGAAGTTGAGAAATACTGCTCTGCTTATGCTTCTTTTCAGGAGATTTCTTTAAGCTTTTTTTCTGCCTTGTTTTTCTCATGAATCTCCCCAAAGGCATATACTTGTAATTTCTTTCTATTTGAAAGCGTCACGCAATTTGCTTTTGGGGCTCCCTCTGTGGTTCCTTCTCTCTGACCCCTTTGCTGGAGCCCTCAGTGACTCACTCCTCCTGGTCTTCGTCATGTGTCACCCCCGGAGGGCCTCTTCAGCCACTCTGCCAGTTTGCACACTGCTTTTCTTCATAGGCCTTGCTGGCATACGAAGTTGTACAGAAAATACAGTTACTAAGTTATGCTTAATAAGTTACTAAACTATACCTAGTTACTAATCGTTATAATTATATGAATATATATAGTATTTGTCCGCTTATTTTCTGTCTCTTTCTCTGGAATGAACTACATCAGGGAAGACTTTTTTTTAAAATCACTTTATCAAGTGTAGCCCCTAGAGCATGCCTAGGACACAGTAAGAACTGTAAAAATATTCATAGAATGAGCAAATACATTTACCAGATTCCAAAAATTGCCATTGGAATGGTATTACACTTGTAGATTAATTAGAACAGAATCAACATTTTCTCATGTTTGAGTCTTTCCATTTAAGAACATGAGATTTTTCTCTGTATTGTTTTCTTTCATGTCTTTGAAAAACTTAAAAAAATCTTTGTGCACATCTTGATATTTCTAGTTAGATTAATTTGTAGCTATTTAAATTTGGTGGTGTCTTCTCTCTTGAATAGGATTTTCTTAATCTTCTGTTTTGTTACTTATATTAGTTTCCTATTGCTAGTTTGAGAAATTACCACAAACCTAATGGCTTAAAACAGCCCAGATTGTCTGTGTGATAGTTATGGAGGTCAGAAGTCCGGACTCAGTTTCATGGGGCTATAACCAAAGTGTGAGCCGGCCCATGTTCCCTCTGGGGCTCAAGGGAGAAAATCCATTTCCTCACTGTTTCTGGTTAGTTTCCAGAGACTTCCAACATTCCTTAGCTTGTGGCCCTGCCTCCCATCTTCAAAGCTTATCTGTTTAAGCTCTGCTTCATCCTTAGTTTCTTTTCTTTTCCTTTTTTTGGGGGAGCGGGAACCGGGTGTTGAACCCAGGCCCTTTGCACTTTGCACTGAGCTATATTTCCAACTCTAAGTTGCCCTGGCTGTGTTCAAATTTGCTGTTCTCCTGCCTCAGCCTCCTAGAGTGCTGGGAATTCAGTTGTGTGCAGCCACACTCAGATATAATTTTTCTTTACTTGTGATCTTCTTGTCTCTCTTATAAGGATCTTTAGAAATACATTGTGCTCATCTGGAAATTTCCCTACCTTAATCACCTCTACCTGTTTCTTCTGCCACAGAAGGTAACACATTCACAGGTCCCAGGGACTAGGATGTGAACATTTTTTGGGTGTTGTTATGCAGACTCTGTACTTGTTCTTGTAACTATATAGAAAATGATTCATTTTTGTATGTTCTTTATTTGGGTGTACTTTGCCAAACCGCTATTATTTTGTATTTGTTTTGTCATTGATTTTAAAGCAATTTCCTATTTGGTTTCCACTTGATTCTTTTAGATATGCTTGCAGTTACATCTTTTGTTCCTTTCTTTTTGGTATTTAGAGTTCATTGTTTTCTTGCCTCTTCTTCTACACTGTCTGGAATCTCTTGATTCATGCTAGGTGATAGCCCCAAACCTACAGGCATCCTTGATCGTTCTTAGCTACATGAGAAATTACTTGTTTTACCCCTGAGAATGGTGATTTCTAATAAATACTATTAAATTAAGGAATTCCTGTCAAATCAAGTCCTCTATTACTAAGATTTTAGGTTGGGAACTATTGTGATGATTATAAAAGTAGACATATGGCTTTCCTCTTTCAGCCTGGTGAAGCTTTTCCAGCCAGGATCCTCTTTGTGTTCAGCAGTAAATCTTCCTTAGTCATGGTGTCTTGTTCTTTGAATGTGCTGCTGACTTCTTTCTGTTTGCTAGTATTTTATTTTAGATTTTTGTATCTACATTAACAAGTGAGTTTGGCGTAGTTTAGTGATTGGTTGTCCCATCCTTGTAGATTATCTAGTCAAATTGAATAAACTGGGAAACTTCCCACCTCTCTATATGATCTGGAACTGTTACTAGCTGTGTTTTGAATGCTTCAGAAACATAGGGTCCCTTGAGCCAGTTGTGCTAATCTTTTTGTTTTATTTTGTTTTGAGACAGGGTCTCACTATGTAGTTGAGATTAACCTGGAACTCACTGTGTAGTCCAGGCTGGTCTCGAACTCACAGTGATCCTCCTGCCTCAGCCTCCCGAGTGCTGGGATTATAGACGTGTGCCACCATGCCCAGCCTATGCTTGTGCTAATCTTTATGACCATCTTCTGTACCCAGCAGTGGGGTTGCATTACTCTGAATCATCTTTACTTTACCTGCTCTCCCCTGCGGCATTTGAGGTTTAGTTGTGACCTGTGAAACAGGTATTCTCTGTGAAAATCTGCTCAGTCCAGATAAAGGGGCCACTTCTGACAACTTGGCTCCCTTCAGAGACTCCTGTCAGGCTGGTACAATGCAGCCTGGCCCCTCATGGGAATTTCAGGTGCTTTGAGTTGTCTTTATTAATCATTAATCGATAATCATGTAGCATTCCTGTGAAACTTCTTAGCAAGTCGGCTGAATTATTTCCAGTTTAGGGGCAGGGATCATTGTTAAAGGAAGTAGTAATTTCTGATATCAGAGTTTGGAGTTAAGTGGTCTTTGTTTTAAAACTTGAAAGCTGTGCCTGTGCAGTGAACGCTGCCAGATCTGGACTAAACTGTAGATCAGTTATTGTGAAACTGAGAGGAGGGCAAGAAATCTTTTTATTTTTCTTTTTTCTCCCTCTCTCCCTCCATCTCTCTGTCTTTGTTATTTTGAGACAGAGTCTCACTATGTAGTTCAGGCTGGCCTTTGTAACCCAGGCTGGCCTTGAACTTGCAGCAGCCCTCCTGCCTTAGCTTCCTTCCCGTATGCTGGAATTACAGGCTTGCACCACCATACCCCGCATGGTGCTTCTTTGATGATAAGAAATATGGAAGTCCAAACCAAGAGAAGCATCCCTGTCATCATGAAAAGCCTGACTGCTCGAGACAACATTTCTCAGCTCCTCAATGTCTACTGATGTGTTCCTCTCATTTCCAGATTTCATAATGACAATTTGTATAAATGCAGATGTCCAAAGCCCAGTACAATGATTTATTAAGTTTAGTAAACCAAGCGTTCCTAAGTTTGCAGTGAACAGACTTAATTTTTAAGAGATTCTCTGAGTATCTTCAGATCTTAAATCTTTGATCAGGCCTGTTTAATGAAATACAATAGGAGTGCTTCTTAGAGACTGCTGCTATAAATTTCTCAATTAAAATACTGCTGTATTCATCCTATGCAAATGTGAATCCTTGGAAAATGGTTCAATTAAAAGTTGGTTTTTTTTGTGTGTCAAAGGTAAACTTATTTCTTGTTCTTTTTCTTGTGCAGTAAAACAGACCATCAGTAACATTTCAGTATTTAATGAAACCTGCCTGAGATGGAGAAATATGAAGACAGCTGGTATAGAAGAGATGTATTTGGTAAGTTACTGAATACCACTTTATTTATAGATGTTTGTTGTGTGTGGAAGGTTTTTAAAGTATTTGCAAATCTGAAAACTGCTTCTATAGCTGCTGTTATCAGGAGAGGGTTTATTGAGATAGTTCCAAAAAGAAGCAGGAAGACAGCCATATCTACATGTCTGAAGGCAGAAACCTTGAATGAGAAAGCTGCAAGAGTTTTTGTTCACAAGTCTTGGCATAGAGTCGATGCTTGGCCGGTATCCACGGAGAGAGTCCGACTGTCTCTGTTCACACCAGGGTCTTAGACCAGGCCTAGATAGATTGCCTGGAGAATCAAAGGGAACTTTTGCAGATAGATGTGGTTGTGAATAAGAAAGGCAAAGATGGGAGATGCTGTTAGAAAACGTCAAATAGGAAGAAAAAGGTTCAGGACTAGGAACGTAGCTCAGTGGTAGAGTGCTTACCTAGCATGCCTGAAGTCCCCAGGTAATATCCCCAGCACTGCAAGGACAAAGGGGGAGAGGGGTGGAGGAGAGAGAGGGAGAGAGAAAGCCCAGGCGTAGGAAGTATCTTAAATCAGGACCTGCTTAGTTCAGATCCCGCCACATACATTTTTATTAGTGCTTATCAGTTATACAGATTAATAGATTTCATTTTGGCAGATTTGTACATGCACGTAACATACTTTAAGCACCATCCTTTATCACTGCCTTGCCCCAAGTTCAGATCCTTACTTTTCTCCCTAGGAGCATATTCTTGGTCCCTGTTCCTGCAGTTTTGCCACCTGGTTTCTGCTTTGGGCATGTGCACTGTGTACGTGAGAATAAGACATTGCAAGTTGCTACTATTGAAACCTCAGTGTTTTGGGCATTTTTATTAAAAGTATATATTTATTAGCCTCATAATATCATTATCACCATATGTATAGTATTACAACTCTACTATTTATATACCATTGCATTTTACTTTTTGGAGAAACTTTATAAGGGGTGCAGGGATGAGGGGAGAAAACTCATGCAAAAAGGAAAAGCATCAAGGCATTCAGAGCCTCTCAAGCCAGCAGTTCACCATGTGAGCTTTTGTGTGTTTCAGTTCCGCGTCTGGGGCCAGAGATGGTATCAGAAGGGCTATACCGAGGAAATGATATTTAATACCACTAGTAGCAGCCAGTCTCCTGAGATGTGTTTGGACCTGCAGCCGGGTACCACCTATAATGTCAGCCTCCAGGCTTTGTCTTCAGAACTTCCTGTGGTCATCTCCCTGACAACCCAGATAGCAGGTAAATCTCAGATAACAGCATCTGGAGTGGTGGAGTCGCCACAACACTGCTGATAGGCCTGGATAAAGAGGAACACTGTCGCTTTCTGTCACTGTACCATGAGCTTTGAGAGAGAGCAGAGGGAGAATGTGGAATTGGAGAGAGGTGCTAAGGGGCTTGCATGTTTTAGTTCTCAAGAAAATATCTGAAACAAAGATTAACATTGATTAAATCTGTGTAGTGTGTCTGTGACTATTGGCTAAGTTCCTCCTGGATGTTCGAAGCACTTAAAGTAATTCAAATTTAAAAAGGATTTTCTGTCACTGTTTCTCAGTCACGTATTTAATTGGCATTTTTGGTGCCAGTGGCTTATGAGTAAGTCACTAATGGGAAAATAGTTGACAATTCTTTTATAGATCCCTAGTAAGTTTCACTTTCCACTCATTTTCTCATTTGTCTTCAAATCTGTGAATCCTGTGTGTTGGTTCAAATCTGTGAGTATCGTTTTCTTGCTTCTGTTTCACTGAGAAATTAGAAGTGAGGTCCTCCCACTCCTGAACACCCACTCTTACCTGCATACCGCATATTTTGCCTTCTGTCCTGTTCCTGCTCCTATCTCAAGCTGCTGGTCCCTGAACTCGTACACTGGGTCCTCTCCCTTCTTGCCTAATCATCCCTTTCCCCCAATGTAGAATTCTTCCCGGCACTGGGAAGCGTGTGGGATTCCCTTGTTAATGAAAAGAATGAAAGAATCAACACATTTGCTTTGAGCCCATGTTGCCCTCCAGCTACTTTGCCTCCTCTCTGCCTCCCTTTATATTAAAGCCCTTGAGAGAAATGTCTGTCTTGTTTCTCCTTAACTCATTCATCGGGAGGCATCGTCTGTGGCTTTATGGATAGCGTCTCCATTCAGCCTCCACCCAGTTACTGGCATCCCTCCAGTTCACTGCTCAAGCCAAAAAGGAACCCTAATTCATTTTGTCCTACTCCCAAATTTCTAATCCGTGAACAAGCTCCGTTCATTTACTGTCCAGTATACGTTCTGAATCCAACCACCTATCCCCACTTTGGCCTTTGCCACTACCAAACCTCCCAAAGTTAGCACCTCTCAAATCTGAGCACCCAAATACTTGTACCATTAACACATGTCTTTGAAATTTGGAAGATGCATCCAGACCGTAGCATTCTTAGAGATGCGTCCCATAGCCATCCTTTCATAAATACCCTCCTTAGCCTCCATGTCATTACTCTGTATCCATTTGCCTGATTGAATTTCTTCCTTTTCTTCCTCCTCCTCCTGCCCTATTCCCTTCTCCCCCTTCTCTTTCTTCAGTGGCGGAACTCGAACCCAGGGCCTTGTTCCTGCTAGACAAGTACACCAACCCTGAGCTACAACCCCAGCCTTTGAAGTTCTTCATAAATCTTGTTTTCTGAAATAATTTTTTGTTTAACTTTTTATAGTGTTCCTCCCCTGCTAAAACGAGCTCTTTGAATGCAAAGATATTTGTCTGTGTTTCTGTATTGAATCTCCAACACACATTATGTATCTACATCTGAATGATTATTGTAGGGATCAGTGTTGAGGAGGTGTCTGATTAGTTAATAAAGATTTTAAACAAAAGAAAAATTCACCACCTTTTGAGCTGGAGAGAAAAATAGTATTCTATTTGGTCATTCCTTCCCGTGACAACTTATTAAAACAATAGCCATTCAGTCTCCTTCTCTTGGTCCTTTGCCATATTTGTATGGGTTGAATTTCTAACTTCAGTTAATATTTTATATTTTTTAAGTAGGGGAAAAGGGTTTCGTCTTCTGAGAGGCTTATTTCTACCTTGTTCTGGAGGCTAAACCTGCCTTAAACGCCCTGTGTCTATGCTCAGGGCCACCAGGGGACGCTGTTGAGCTTCTCAAGTTCATTGAGACAGGTTTTAAAGTTCGCTGGGACTGGGACTGCGTGCTTTCTAACTTTTTAACCTGCTTTAGAGGTTTTGCAGTTTTAAAACACGAAACTTCAAATTGTTAAGACTTTATTAAAAAGTTAAGAAAACATTACGTGTTAACGTGAACATGTGTGGTTGCCTAAGATGCATGTAGCTTTGTTTCAGTAAAATAACGGATCTTTTAACCTTACCAGAAATGTTAGGTTGAGGATTTGGGTTTGGAAAATAAAGCAGCTCATTTCCCAGAAGAAAAGTGAGTGGAATTTCCCTTAGGCATGTCTTCCGTTAAACTAAATCTTACTGATGGGAACAGGATAAAAACAAATGCGTTAAATATGTTGCTGAACTCAGCGGAGAGTGAAAGTTCTGGGAATGTTGAGGGACAGAACGCGGTGCGAGGAAAAGGGTGCTGGGGGCTTCTGTCTCCTTTCTGGCTCCTGGCTGCCTCAGGTGGCCTGTTGAGCTGAATTGTCAGAACAACCCGACCGTTTATGCCCTTTAGGAAAGAGTGGAGAACAAGAAACTTCCATCCTTGTGGTAGACCTCAAGGGGTCAGAAAAGCTTTCAGGCCGTGGTTATGCTATTTTTTTGATAAGTCTAAAGCCTTATAAGCAAAATTTTCTTTTTAATGGGGTGAGACAGGAAACCAGAGAGGGAAAAATGATGGTGGTCATAGAGGTAGGAGTAGTGCGGGAGGGAGAAATAAAAAACAATGCATTCATAAGTGTGAAGATAAGCAGACCATTTCTACTGCACAACATAGTGATCATTTGAGGTCAAATGTGTATTTCTGGAGGAAAAAAGGGAAGAAAAGATAGAAAGGAAGTCATTTCTACTCATATCTCTCTTCAGTACCAAGGCTGGTCACTTACTAGGGAAATTTCCCATCTCTAGTTACATTTGTAATAAGAAAAAGAGAAAGTACATTTTTAAGTGGTTAGGAAAACAGCTGAAGACCATAGGCATGTCCCAAGCATTGTCACACTATCGTTTAAAATTTACTTATTTATTTAAGGTTTTCTTGGAGACAAGGTCTCACTACATAGTTCAGATTGGACTTGAACTCACTATGTTGCCCAAGCTGGCCCCAAACTTGTGGCATCCTCCTGTCTCAGCCTCATGAGTGCTGGGATTCCAGGCATGGGTCATCACACCTAGCTTGTCACATTATCATTTTATCAGAGAGCTCTAGCCGGGATAGCCTAGATTCTCCCTGCCCTTCCCTCTTACCACAGATATCATGGGAAGGACTGCACTGCCAGTTCTCTTGAGTTCTGCCATGTGCTTCTTTCCCGCGGTTGTCTGGCCGTAGCCATCTAAGGAGGTAGCACTGCTGTGTCTTCATTGAGAACCCTGTCCCTTGTGGCTGCTTCTAGGGTGTATTATCCCCGGGAGTGCCTGTGCCTACACTTGACCTTCACGCTGTGCTCCTTTCAAAGTCTTTTTGTGGATATAGGTTCTTTGGTAATCTGCAAACCCAACATAGGTCGGGCTAGGAGAGGGTATGTGTACCCTTCCACATATCCATGGTCCACGTGCTTCTCCTATTCCCAGGAGTTACCCAGCTGCTTTCCACCCCCAAGCTCCCAAGTAAATGGCATTGGGAATGTGTATCTCTCTGCTCCTTTCATTGTAACCATCTTAATCCTACTCAGTTCAGAGAGACAAGATGATCCACAGCAGAGGGAAATGGGCAGCTGGGTCATTTTCTTGCATTAACTTTAGCTCTTTTAAAATATGCTTAGTTCATAAGCCTAAAAACCAGAGTTTGTGTGTGTGTGTGTGTGTGTGTGTGTGCGTGTGCAGTGGGAGTAGGAGAGGGGCTGCTGAGCACTATAATTTCATTCAGCAAATATGTACTGGTGACTTATGTACAAAGACCTGTGCAAAATGTTAAAGAGAATATAAAGGTAAAAATGGGGCCAGGGATTTAGCTCAGTGGGTCCGCTGCCTGCCTCACAAATGTAAGGACCGGAGTTGGATCCCTGGTATAAAATAAATAAATAAATGTAAAAAGACCTTGCTGGGAGATCATAACTTCATTGATAGGGAAGACCTATCTAGCTTTTGTCATAGCTGATGATTTATGGTGGAAGGCACTATTTCTTTTGTTGCTATTAGTTTCAGTTGATTATGCCTGGGGTGGCATGGTGTATCTGGAGAGGTGCCTGAAGTTTAGAAAAGAATGTTTTTAGTGTCTTTATTTTTTCCCCTAATTTTTAGTATAAAAATTTCAGAAGAATAGTGCTGTACTAGGTTCTCGGGCGCTGGAGTTGTATATATTTTTTTTTTTTTTTTTGGTACCAGGGATCAAACTTGGGACATTCCTCTTGCAAGGCAGGTGGCGGAACCACTGAGCTAAATCCCCGGCCCACTGGAGTTGTGTTTTAATTGAATTCCTTGTGGTACTACCCAGCCATAAAGAAAAATAAACTTCAGACTTTTATAGCTAAATGGATGTACCTTGAAACTATACTCTTAAGTGAAATAAATTGGACACATATATGTAAGTATTGCATTGTCCCTCTGGTGTGAGAAACTGCGAGGGTAAATAAGGACCCAAATGTATAACAGGTAATATGAAATAGGAGAAACTGTGCAAAAGGAAAGGGAAGCTATAAAAGGGGAAGGGGAGAAAAGGAAGGGAAAAGGGAAAAATGAAAAAGAAGGAAAAAATGGAAACAAAGCTTTTATAAATAAGGAGGGAAGAAAAACTGAAGGAGGGAAGAGGATTGGGAGGAAAAGAGGAATTAAGATATATCCTGTAGCCTGGGGCTTTAGCTCAGTGGTGCCGCCACCTGCATGGACCTGATCCATAAAAAAAAAAAAAAAAAAAAAACAAAAACAAAAAAAACAAAAGGTGTATCATGTGCAGGTACAAACTCTTCTTGATGAATGTGATTGTTATATATATTTACATTGTACCAAAAAATTAATTTAAAAAAATTTAAAAGATTCATTCCTTATATTCATTCCTCAGACTTATAAGGCTGAGATTTTTGCATGTGGTGCAGATAAAATTTTCTTTTTTGTTCATTTTGATGAAGAACATTAACATTTTTGATCTAATATTATCTCAAC